CGCCAACGGGCCCACTCCGATCCCGCCGCCGAATTCCAGTACCCTCCCCGAACCAACCTCGATCTTCAGAAGATACAAAAAAACGCCATAAAAACTGTTGGCGCTCCGCGCAGATTTCTTGGACCCGCGCCCGACCCCCTCCCTGGCGCGCGGAGCGCGCTAGTGGCGGCGCCGGAGGCGCCGTCGGGGGGGCCCAGCGCGGATCCAAGAAATCCGCGCGGAGTGCCAAACGGTTTTATGTGTATGGCGTTTTTCTTTTTTCGGATATTACAGTCGGGGCGTTGACCTAAGGAACCCTGAATAAGGAACGAGGCCCCTTTTTTCCCATAAGTTGAATATTTCGATATCCCATGGAAGACCCGAGGAACATGTAAGGCAAACTGTAAAACAATCAGGGAGCACCGAGCCCCTCCCCAACGAAAAGAGTTACATCTTGATTGCCCCGACTGTGTACCTTGTCGGGGATCTTCTGACCCGGGTCAATCCAGCCCTGGGTCAGTCAGGCCTTGCAGAATCCTGCAACCTCCTGCACCCAACCCGCGTCCATGCGAAGGATCCCGCAAGATCCTGCAGGATCCTGCACCCTAACCCGGGTCAATGCGACCCTGGCCCTGCAGGACCCTGCAACATCGGGCGCTCTGGCTAATCCTCGTTTGCATTGACCCCCGTCTCAAGGCTCCCGACCCAGGAGCCTTGAGACGGCCGGGGGTCAATGCAAACGGTGGTAAGCCAGGGCACCAAATCCTGCAGGATCCTGCGAAGACCCCCTCTGGATGACCCGGGTTCGCGAGCCGCTCGTGGCCGCGAGGCGGCCGCGCATACTGGCTGACCCGGGTTTGCGAAGACCTGCGTTGCGATTGTTTCCTGCAGTGCAATTTTTGGTTTCCTGCCGACCCGGGTCTGGATTGACCCGGGTCAGAAGATCCCCGACCGGGGAGCGACGACGACGAGGAGGGCGAGGAGGAGGAGGAGGGCGAGGAGGAGGAGCCTGAAAGGAGGGCGAGGAGGAGGAGGAGGGCGAGAAGGAGGAGGAGGAGGAGGAGGAGGAGGAATCAGGAGAGAAGGAGAGAAGGGCGAGGAGGAGGAGGAGGAGGCGGAGGAGGAGGATTGACCCGGGTCAGAAGATCCCCGCCTTGGTCCGACCGTATCCCCATCCTCCGGCGCTCAAGGCGGCCGCGCGCTTCCGCGTGAGCGCTGCGCCCTGGGGCGGGCGCCTGGCCCTCGGGCCCAGAGTGGTCGGGCCCCACGGCGACGTCTGCGGCGCCGGCGGGGGGGGGGGAGGGCGGGATGGACCGATGTTCCAACACGGCTGCCATGGGTAGGAGAGGCGGGAACGGGAGGAGGAAGGGGAGGAAGAGGAGGAGGAGGAGGAGGAGGAGGAGGAGGCCGGAGGTGCAGGAGGAGGAGGAGGAGGAGGAGGTGCAGGAGGAGGAGGAGGAGGAGGAGGAGGAGGAGGAGGAGGAGGAGGAGGAGGAGGAGGGGGAGGAGAAGGAGGAGGAAGAGGAGGAGGAGGAGGAGCAGGAGGAGGAGGGGGAGGGAGGGGAGGAGGGGGGGGAGCGAGGAAGAGGGAGGAGGAGGAGGAGGAGGAGGAGGATGAGGAGGAGCAGGCGGAGGAGGAGGAGGAGGAGGTGCAGGACGAGGAGGAGGAGGAGCAGGAGGAGGGGGGGGAGGGAGGGGAAAGGGGGGGAGGAAGGGCCAGGGAGGGTGAGGGAGGAGGAGGAGGAAGAGGAGGAGGAACTCCCCATCCTCCCTTCTCCCCCGTCCTACGTATGGAAGTGGTGGAAAACTGGCCCTCCAACGGGGGGGGGGGGGGGCGGCGGCGAAGGGGGCGGGCGAGGGGCGGCCCGGGCCCAGCTGTCCAAGGCCCCACTGCGCCGTGACAGACAGTCAAAGGCGGACGTCGATTATGTGTGTATGCACGAGTAAACACCTGACAATGTTTGTACATGTATGTATCCATCCATCCATCCATCCATACATGCACACATACATGCATGCATGCATACATACATACATACACACATACATACATATATACATACTCCGAGTTTCTTGATCAACGTCGGGGGGGCGTCACCCCCGCCGACAGCCCCACATCCACCCCCGTCGCGGGCAGCCACCGCGCGCCGAAGGCGCTCCGACCCGCGTCGCGGCGAGACGACGAGGCGAAGTTGACCCTCGTCGGGAGGGTACCCATCCACGCGTATTAAGAAACCCAGAGTGAGAAACCAAGCATACACACATTTATATATATATATATATATATATATGTATATATATATAATTACACCAGGGAGAATACCCCAATCAATGGATCGCTTTCGCTGAAGAGATCGACTGGGAACCCGGGAGCCCGGAAACCCAGAACCCACCGAAACCAGCCCGGAACCAATAAACGGGAACCTGGGAACCCAACCTGCTTCCAAAATCGGCGGAAAACTTTCGCCAAATCTTTCAACATCCGCTAGGACCCCTTCAGTGCAAGCACTGATTGGGGACACGTGCATATATATATATATATATGTATATATATATATGTATATATATATGTATATATGTGTATATATATATACACAGTGTACTAGAACCACGCCCGATCGCGCTTCGCGCGCGACCAGGTTCTAGCCGACTCCGAAACAAGGGGGGGCTGCAGGCATGTGCCCGATCCCGCGGTGTCTTCCCGGTGGCCCCCCCCTGAGGCTGTGGGGTTAGGGGCTCATGTGGTGTCTCGGTGTGTCGTCGGGAGCCTCGTTGAGAGCTGCCGGGGCCGTCATGGGAGCATTTTGGGGCGCCTGGAGGCACCTCTGGGCGCATCTTGGCTTCCTGGGGGCCTCCAGTTGGGGTGGCTGCTGTGGCCCCGTGGGGGCCTTGTTGGAGCCCTTTTGTAAGTTCCTGGGGCTTCTCTGGTGCCTCTTGGGGGGACCTCGTGGGAGATTCTTGGCGGTCTCGGTGGGCTATGCTGGAGGCTATCAAGATCGCAGGCGGGGGGTCCTCGAGAGGCCCTACACCCCCCGATGGACAAACTCTGACCAACTCCTCAAGAACACTGAATTGGGTCTTCTCAATGGTGCCTTTTCCCAGCCATCCTGTGGTGCTGAGTCCTCGCTTTGAAGAAACAGCGCCCAGCGTCCCACCTCCTCTCCTGCTCCTCCCCCTCTGCGTCCGCGCCACCCATTTCGGCACAACCCTCAGCCCGTTCGTGGCCCAATAGGGAGCTCCACCGAATGCCCCAGTGGCCGTTGTCCCATGCGTCCCAGCCACCCATGTTGGCACACCCTTCGCACGTTTCGTGAACCCATAGGCCCATAGGGAGCTCCACCTGAGGCTCCAATGTCGACATTCCCAGGCGTGCCCCCTGCCCATTTTCGCACACCTCTCACACGGTTCGTTGCCCCATAGGGAGCTCCACCCAAGGCTCAAGTGGCGACCTCCCCATGCGTTCCCGCCACCGATTTTGGCACACCCATGACACGGCTCGTGACCCTATAGGGAGCTCCACCTAAGGCTCCAATCGCGAGGTTCCCATGCGTCCGTTCCCATGCGTCCCCGCGACCAATTTCGGCACACACACACACATACACACACACACACACACACGCACACGCGCACACACACACACACACGCACACACACACACACACATACACACACACACACACACACCTCACACAGTTCGTGACCCCATGGGGAGCTCCACCTAAACCCCCAGTTGCGACGCTCCCATGCGCCCCCGCGGCCCCCATAGGGAGCTCCACCTGTGGCGTCAATGGCGACGTTCCCATGCGTCCCCGCCACCCATTTTCGGCACGCCCCCCGCACGGTTCGTGGCCCCACAGAGAGCGCCACCGAGGACGATATCCACACTTGCGGCACTCACATCTGCGAATGGTTGGGCACTTCGCCAAGCTAATTTGTCCGACGCTCGAACTGACTGCCGCCACCCACGTCTAGACCCAGGGGGAGGCGCTCACTGGGGAGAGGGGCCACATTTCCAACGGGAACGCCGCAAGCTACCTCACTCACTCCCACCAGCCCTCCCACTATATTGAAGGGGCCCAGGAACACACAAATAAATAGACTCAGATAGCAGGATTCCCCATATGTTCCCATCTGTTCTGGGTTCTTGTCTTCCCCACACTTCCCATCTTTTTCCATAGTCTCTGGGGGATCGACGATTCACAGTGTCTGTGTGCTTCTTCCCCTCCTGATCTATAAAGAACGGCCGAGTCGGAGCATGCGCCGGGGCCGCTGTCGACAGTCATTGAGGATCCACGCAGGACACCAGCCAAGTGCGCGACGCCTGCGGCGTGCGCCGTGCACGCCACGTGCGCAAAGCGCGCACCAGGTGCACCGCAGTGCACCCATCTCTTGCAAACACGATGCCACGTGACGGCGGGTCTGCTTGTTTTTGACAAGGATGGTGGGCCTGCACGCACAATGAAATATGTCGCCCGCCCTGGCAAAAGGGACTCTGACACTTGTGTCGAGGGGGTGGCTGGGCCCCCCGCCGTCCCTAAAAAACCAAAGCAACTTGACCACGGTGCGCCCACGCGTGATGCGGATGTTGGCGCGAGTTCGTCGCGAGGAATGGTGGGGATGGTGGCATTGCACACAGCAGGCAATATGTCGCCTCCCGCCCCCACCGTCCCAGCGATCTTTGAGGGGGGCTGGGGGTACACTCTGCTCGGGAGCTCCCGAACGAAGTGAACCCCCTGTCCCCTCCTTAGAAATTGTGGGGGATGGGGGTAGGGTTCACATGTGGCCACCGACCGAAACGGCTCAAAGATGATCGACAGCACTAGAGGCTCCCAGATGGGGTCCGAGCAGATGAGGTCCGAGGATCGCGCCGCATCGCCGATGCATCGCCGATGCATCGGCGATGCTTTCGCGACGTCGGCGACGCATCGGCGACGACGTCGGGGAGAGAATTGGGCTCCGCATCGAGCCGCATCGCCGATGCATTGGCGATGCGGCGCGATCCTTCGACCCCACCTACTCGGACCCCACATGGGAGGCCTAGAAACACTGCATTGATTTACCCCAGAATTGATTTTCCCGTCGGGTTAACGAAAAACACACATACGATGTCCCGTTGAATGACGGAAAATTCTACGCGTGTTTCGTAGATTCGGCAAGATAATCAACTTGGGGCTTCATCAGTCCGGTAGCCGACCCCCCTGGTCCAGCAGGGGATCCTGCAACCTCGGGCCTCGAACCGCGACGGCGGCATCGACAGTCCGTGCGACGAGGACGACCGGCGGAGGCTGCGGCGGCAGGCAGAGGCCGCCACGGCGGCGACGATAGGAGGCCACGGCAGCTCAAGATTGATCCCCAGACGCCGGCCGAGGCCCAGATTAAGTCTCAACGATGGGGAGGGATTGACCGAAGGGGGGGGGGGGAAACACCGTCCCCAGATCGGCGACACGCCGCCCACGGCTGGGGCGACAGGCCCATGATAAGCGATAAGCAAATCGGCGATACGACGCCGCCGGCGGCGGGGCGATAGGGGGGCGACTGCTGGGGCGACGGCTGGGGCGGGTTCCGGCTATCGGGCCCCTGTCGGCGACCAACAGGCCACTGGGGGTCGATGCATCCCCCCCTGTGCTTACGTCGGGAATGTCCTCCTACAGGCGGATGTTGGACGGAACAACATATAGCCAAATTACCCCAGTGCGGCCCTACCTAGAAGTTGCTATGCTATGCTATGCTGCGCTATGCTATGCTATACTGTGCCATGCTATGCTGCGCTATACTATGCTATGATATGCTATGCTGCGCTATGCGATGCTATGCTATGCTAAGCTATAATATGGAATGCTGCGATGTGCTATGCTAAGCTATGATATGATATGATATGCTAAGTTGCGCTACGATATGATATGATATGATATGTTATGATAGATTATGATATACTGCGCTATGCTATGATATGCTATGATTGGATATGTTATGCTTTGCTATGCTATCCTAATGCGGCGCTGCGCAATGCTAAGCCAAGCTCAGCTAGCCCTCTAGGCAAAGCTTAGGTAGGGAATTACACCCATGCTATTGCTTTGCTTTGCTGTCGCTGCTGTTGCTTTGCCTTTGCTTCGCTGCTGTGCTATGCTATGTTATGCTATGCGGTGCGATGCTATGCTGCGCTGTGCTATGTTGTGCTGTGCTGTGCTGCGCTATGCTATGCTATGCTATGCTATGCCATGCTATGCTGCGCTATGCTATGCTATAATGGGCTATGCTACGATATGCTGTGCTGCGCTATGCTATGCTACGCTATGCTATGCTGCGCTGTGGTGTGCTGTGCTCTGCTATGCTAAAGCTCAGCGAAGCTAAGATGAAGGTAAATTAAGCTAAGATAAAACTGAGGTAATATTACGCTAAGCTAAGGTATGATGAAATAAGTGCCAGGCCGGGTCCCCGAGGCCATAACATTCTTTTTAGAGAAGCTGACGGCGGCGATGGCAGGAAACGACGGCCTCGACTCCCAGAGTGGCCAGGACACTCGCGGGCAGCACAGACGCAGACTTAAATCGATTCAAAAACCCTCAAGCGAGGGCGGGTGGGTTCGGGAGCTTGAGCACAACGGTTGCGGTCGTGCGGCCCCTCAGCCCCTTCCCCAGCACACGCCACACTAAAGTTGTTACAATGCCGGGTCGGGTCCCCGAGGCCATAACATTCTTTTTAGAGAAGCTGACGGCGGCGATGGCAGGAAACGACGGCCTCGACTCCCAGAGTGGCCAGGACACTCGCGGGCAGCACAAACGTACATTGTGTAACACAAAACTCATGGCCGCAGGCCGCCCAAGAAATAAGATCGGGCCTGCGACAATTCCTCGATCGACGAAACGATTGAATCTGCCACAAGCTCGGCGGCTCGAGCGGGAAAGCGGGCAACCTTGTGCCTGCACGCTACGCCTTTGGCCGTGCGGCCGTCAAAACGCATGTGAGGTCGCCCCGAAAACGAGCAGCACTCTTTACTGTGATCACACACGCGAGCAAGGCGAGACAAGCTGGGGCAGTGCCAACAACACACACGTGTGGGAGCGCGAGCTGCGGCACAAAATTGACACAGGTCCACCTGAACGTTGAGACACGCAGAACGGTTCATTAGCTCAACTAGCTGAGGAACATGCCAGATCAAACTGCTACGAGGATGCTCGAAACACACAGGCACATGATGCTTCACGCAAGCACGCAAAATCTGAACGGCAGCCTGCATCTCGACATTGTCACACAGAAAGGCAGGGAGCACCACTGAATTGGACGCGCCGTACTTGCGACCCCAAGGGTCCGCCACAGAACGGCGAGGCGGGACGCCTGGCTGCATCCAGGTACTACGAGACAAGGAAATCCACAAAGCGCAGACAGCGGACGACCGAATCCAGCCCAGGATTCGATTGACCACCACTCGCTCAGTCAAACCTAGACACGCGTTCCGACCTGCTCCGAACGATGGGCAACCCAAACCGCGACTGCGCAGCGCTTTGCATATGGGAGCCCCATGAGGCCCCAGCACAAGCAGAACGAGCCGCCTGCGGCGAGACGCCCACGCGTGAGCACGCCGAAACGCCCCGTTCAAACGAGAAGCTAGCGCATGGTCAGAACTGGCGCCCGCTTTGCGACTGGCGGGACGGCAGGCATGGGCTGAAGAGGAACAGCCAGCGGGAAATAGCCTTTCACAAAACTGCACACGATGAGCTCCGCCAATCTCTCGAGCACCTGATCTCCAAAGCGAATGACTTCGACGGGCAGGTCTCCGATTCTCTGTTGCATCCGAGTGCGCTTGCCGTGCCGTCTCAAACTCTTGTCCATCACCCATCTGCCCCTCTCTTTCACTTCCGCCATCGATCGGGACCCCGAGAGCAAGTCGTGCGAGGCCCCCCCATGGCGGAGGGTGTACAAGGACGGGGACTCCATCTGCAGCCCGAGCTCCCTCAAGCCCTGGGCGAACATCAGGCGGACGTCGGCGGGTCTGAAGTTCCACAGGCTGGCGCTGGGCTCCCTGTTGGCCTTCAGCGCGAGCAGCACGGGCCAGAGCTCTGGCGCATCCACCAGCACCGACTCGTCGGTCTCGCCCGTCTTGCCAGGCCGACCTGCTTTCGCGTCGTTGACAATGATCCCCCACGAGCTGAACCCCGCCCCAGCTATTGGCGGCACCAACGAGCTCACTCTCAGACGGCAAGCCTCCGAGGGCCGCAGGTACGCATGAAACACCAGCGCCACGAACACCGCCATGCTGGGCAAGTTGCGAGGTATCATCCAACCAGCAACTGCCATGGCCGCAGCTCGCGGCAGTGGGAGCCGCATCTGCGGGGGGACCAGCCGCCGCCAGCCGCCGAGGGCTCGGGCCGCTCGAGGGAGAGGGCGCCTGCCGCCGAGCAGCTGGGGCAAGAAGTGCCTCAGAGCGGCTACTGACATCCTCCCCGTGGCGGAGTCGAACCCGTCTAATGCCAGGTCGGTCATGAACGCCACCAGCGCCGCGTCCAGCTGCGGGGCCGAGTGAAAGTCCAGGCCGTGCCAAGTCACCCACTCGAGGAACCTCGCGGCGTGACCCCTGTAGCGCTCCCTGGTCGAGTCCGTGACGGCAGACATCTCCAGGAAGCTGATGGCGCCCTCCGCCAGCTGCATCGGCCGTGGATGCTGCTGCTTCCGAGCGGCCCTCATCGTGATGGAGCGCTGAACTGCCACTGGCTGTCCCTGGCGCGGCCGCGGCCGCCTCCTCGAAACCTTTGCCGTGGAAGAAGCCATGCCGAGACGGGCCGTCCGCTACATTCAACTCAGAGGGCAGCCACCGCACATAGCAGCAACTTTCCGCAAAGGTCGCCGAAGGACAGGCTTGCGCCCCCGCCCCTTCCCAGCGGCTAAAGCCAATGGCAAATTGTCGACGAGGAAGAGGCGACGACGATGGTGCAAGCTGACGTTACGGGACGCGTGGCGAACGGCGTCGTGCAACGCCTCCCCCTCGAGCTCCAAGATGTTCCTGATGGGATCCCAATGCCTCCTCGAGATGACCGTGGCCCAAGCGGAGGCCTCCATGATCTCCTTGGGGACCTCCAGAAAGCCCTTGACGGAGCCCTCGGGGTTGAACGATTCGACGTAGTCCGCGGCGACGGAGTCCAAGATGCCCTCCTCCAGGTGGAGCTCATCCAGCCCCAATGCGTTAGCCCTTGCTGTAACTGCTGCCGTGCACCTGCACCTCCACCTCTCCGTAACCCTCCCCATCTCGGCCACCTGGGGCCAGTCCAGATCACGAGTACAGACGCCGACACCAATAGGAGACGCGTCCGAGGCGGAGACCCGTGAACCCCAAGGAATACCCAAATGCGATGACCACAGAGGCAGCGTACTAGCAACGCACCAGAGCTCAAACCTTACCGAGTTCCACAAAGGCCTGACGTTGGGGCCCTTGAGGGACCTGAAAGCGTAGACGGAGTGCAGAATAGACAAGGTCTCTCTTTTACAAATCATCGCCCACGTGATGTGCCCGAGCAAGACTTCCAGCAGTCGGGGCGAGGCCGCTCCTCGCCGCAGGACAGAATCGCCTGCCGCAGGCGCAAGACGTTGGAGGGCTTCACCCGCACAGTGCCCTTTTCACCGTCGATCTCGAGACCAGTGAAGACAGTCTTCGGCGAAGCCGCATCGATGGAGTGAATGGGCAACCCCCACGATTCAAGCGTCCGCGTAATCTGATCTCTTTGCCGTTACAATGCTTGCATCACAACCCACGACTGCAAAATTATCAACGTATCCAGCAGCAGCTAAACTCACAGGCGAGTGCAGCACAGGACGGGGGCGGCCGTCCTCGATCAACGATCCGTCGCTGAACCCGTTCTCCACTAGAGCCCTGCGCATGATGCTCTGACAAAACAGCAGCGACCAACTCCATCCCATCGGCAACGCGCGCACCATGGGCTGGAGATAGCAGTCGCTAGCCACTGGCAATCCGTCGACGTGAGTAATCCCCAGCAACTGATTTGAAATAGTGGGCAGCGCGAAGCATTCCTCCATCCCCTTTGGCACCAGCATGTGATAGAATGCGCATTGGGTGTCACCCTGCGCTAGAACGACGGGACACTGCGACTCCAAGGCGGACCGCGCAGCAGCCGTCGGAAGCGTCGTCGTGGGCGGGGGCTCGAAATCCTCGTTCGCCACCCTCGTGTCGAACACGAGTCTCAACGTGCCCTCACCCACCTTCTCAACAAAGAAAAATCCCAAACTATAAGGATCAGCAGCACGCGCCACGCGGAAGCTAATCATACCACCCTGAAGCAACTTCCCAACGAAGCCAGCGTAGGCGCGAAGGCTGTTGGCCAACATCGGGCCCACGTACGGGCGCCGCGGAGCTGGCGCATCTCGGGAATCAGAAGCCGACATCTCACCTTTGAGCATGGTCCGTCTCCACCCCAACAAGCATTCACGATCGGCCTGATCCACCAACTCTGTGACCCACAGGCGCGGTAGACATGTCGGGCCAGGACACCATGTCCTTGCTGTAGGGCTTGACGCGCTGAGACTCCGCGGAATACCCAGGCGCCGAAGCGAGCAGCTCTGCAAGGGCTGCTTCGCCTGAAACTCGGTCCTCATGATAGTCAGGAGGCACAGGAAAATCGCGAAAGGCCTGGCTGATGTGGTCCAGCGCGCTCGCCTGGGCAGCTGATGACGTCAGCCCTGGCGGCGCCGCCGCACCTGCGCCGTGGCCACTCAGCTGGTTGAGCGCCGCGATGCCGTCGTTAGCCCAACGCCTCCACGCGGCCCCACGCTGCGCCCGCTGCTGGCCCCGCCGGCTGCGACAGGAAGCAGCGCGCTCATCCAGCGCGAGCGGCGGCAGAGGGAGCACGTCACGCTGACGCCCTGCAGGCTTCATCGCGGAGCTGCGAGGGGGCTGGCGAGCCGGGGCCCCCAGACCTCAATCAAAGACGGCGGCGGCGCTGGCCGCCGCGAAAATGCAGGGGTCGCCCAGGCGGCACCGAGGTGCCTGCACCCGCCTGGGAGAAGCTTCCGAGGGCCTATGCGCGCGCCGCCCGCCCCTCGCGGGCTTTGCGCCTCTCCTTGGCAACAGCTGCCTCCGCCTTCAGCTGCTCTGCAATGAACTCCGTGAGCGCTGGCGGGATGCAGAGGTTGCCCTTGCTCGCCGACGCGCCCATGTAGTGCTCGGCCTCCGAAGCGAGTAGACTCTCGCTCGCCCCGAGGCCCTTCTTCTTGTCCTTCTTCTCCCCTGCCGCCACCTGCGCGGCTACCGTCTCCTCGTAGTGGCGTTCCTCGATGAGCTGAGTCTGCCGACTGACCAGCTCAAAGGCCGCCAACTATGACGCGTTGAGCTGGTCGTAGCAGGTGGCCATCTCCAGCAGCCTGCAGTTCATCTCATGCTGCTGGCAGATGGCATCCGAGTCGCGAAGCCTCGCCTCCGCTTTCCACTTCGAGTGCCAGGCCAACGGGCCGCCCGCGTTCCGACGCATGTGCTCCAAGCACCACTGGGTCGTCCTTGGCCCCTTGATCGGCCAATCGTCCCGTGGCGTGGTAGTAGCGTCCCGCAGCGCGACTGAGTAGTCCAGCTGGCGGCGACCAGCGTGATCCGTCGCCAACGGGAAGACGCGAGGATCGGCAGCCGCCAATGGCGCCACCGCCGCGAGCGCACCAGCAGCTGCAGCGCCGCCTCCTGGGCCGCCCGCCCCAGCACCGCCACCCCCCAGGGGAGGAGGCATCGCCACGCCCAGAGCTGCAGCGAGCGCGCCTGCGCCTCCAGGAACAGCAGCGCCGCCGCCGCCTCCAGCGCCGTCGCCTGGTGCAGGCACCGCCGCGCCTCCTCCGCCAGCAGCAGCCACCACCGCGGCCGCGGCGGCCGCAGGATTGTCCAGCGCCAGCGCCTGAGGGATCCACGCGGCTCCCACTCCCGCCCCACCAGCCAGCAGAAACGGCGAGGGAGGCAGGGCGGCGCCGAGCCGCAAGGCAGCGTCTCGCAGGAAGCCCCACACCTCTGGAGCAGATGGCACGGCTCCGAAGCGATAGACGTTCGCCTCCGCGACTCCAAAGACAGGTGCGCCCAAGCCTCGCAACGGCCGAACCTCTTCGACGTCCCCGTCAACCTCAACCGATTCTACATACACATCCCCGTCCACAGCCGCAATAGCAGCACGAGGCGGAGGCACATCGAACAGCGTGATCCTCTCATGGAAAACTGGCGGGCCTCCCGCACGATAGCGAATCACGTGTACATTACCTGGTTGGGGCATTCTGAATTGCGGCCCGCGCTTGCTTCGCAGCTAGCAGTCGGATCTCCTCGGCCGAAGTAGCCTCCACTGGCGCGGTGCTGACGCTGGTCGAACTCCTCGAGCGCCTCCAGATGCTTCCCACCAGCCACTTGCAGCTCAAGAAAGCGGGCACCACGAACACGCCCAGCAGGATACCCAGCAAGAAGGCCACCGCGTGGCTGCACCAAGCGCTGACCAGGTGCACGATGCTGGCCCCGCTGACGTCTCGCACGCGCACGGTGGGCAAGCGGGCGGAGCAGCAGAGGTCGCCGACCACACCACCAGGGCCTGCGATGCCCCTCGCGCGAACTCCGAGAGAAAGCGCGTGGCGGCACACTGCATGCCCCTCAAAAGCTTGAGCACAACGGTTGCGGTCGTGCGGCCCCTCAGCCCCTTCCCCAGCACACACCACACTAAAGTTGTTACAACTAAGCTAAGATGAGATAAACAACGCGAAGCTAAGGGAAGGTCACTGGGGGAACCGCGGGGCGGATGCCGGGGGAACCGCCCGGGGCGTGCCCCACTGCCCGGCCCTTTAAGCAAACAGAGTAAGAACCCTTCTAGGCAGCGCCTAGGTAGGGAACAATGTTCAAACGTGCTAGAAAATTGTCAAACATCGACCCCAGACTACTTCTTGACTATGTCTGAAGATTCCTCCTGTAGAGAGACGCCCCCGACTTACCCCTATACCCATGCCCCCCTCTCGTTGCCACCGACAGATGCACCAGATGTGCGAGCTGTCTCCAGCCGTGGCGGCAAAAAGACCACCCCCGCAGGCCAAGGAGTTACCGCTGTTTCCACTCGCCCTCCCACGACGGCTTGGCGTGTCCTCCTACAGTCGGGCGTTGGCAGAACTGGGTTTAGTGGGACTAGGGAATGCCAGGAATGTGGTTCAGATCTCTAGGAATTCCCAGGGAATGCTCGGGATCTGTGTCGAACCTCTGGAGGCCGTCCTGGTGCCGAGGTAACGTTTCCAGGGTACCGGAAACGTTATCATCATTTCACCGGAAGGGGAGGGGGGTTCATAAATACTTCTCCCGGTTTAGGACGCCCAAAAAGGGTACGAAAAAAGCCACGAGACCCAACAGCAAATGCTGTCCGGAAGCAGCAGCCAACAGCGGCCGCTGTGGGGGGTGGTGGCCTCCTGCCTCAACCGGACCACGTTCGTGGAGACGCCGACAGCGAATGCAGTTCAAAGCCTCGGTCCTCGCACCAGTCCTCTCCGTACCCAGTTCGTTCCAACTCCCCATCCCTCCCCTCCTCCTCCTCCTGCTCCTCCTCCTGCTCTTCCTGGTCCTCCTCCTCCTCCTCCTCCTCCTCCTCCTCCTCCTCCTCCTGCTCCTCGACCTCCTCCTCCTCCTCCTCCTCCTCCTCCTCCTCCTCCTCCATCCTCCCTCCTCCCCATCCCTCCTCCTGCCCTTCCTCTTCCACCCTCGCGCGTCCTTCCCAATCTCCTCCTCCTCCCCCCTCCTCCTGTCCTCCTCCGCATCTGGTCCAAACTGGGCACGCCCTGCCGTCGGTCTTCGTACCCACCCTTTCCGTAGCAACGCCGCTCGCCGCCCCCCTCTTGACCGCCCGCTGGGCGGGTGCCCGCAGCGGCCGCACGCCTCGCTGCCGAGGCTGGGCCTCCGCCTCCTTCCGCGCCGCCGCGGCCGCGGGCGGCGCCCGCCGCCGCCGCTGCCGTCGCCGGTCGCCGCCGCCGACGCCGCCGCCGCAGCCACCGCCGCCGCCATCGGCGCTGGACGTCGCCGCATTCGGCGCCGCCGCCATCGGCGCCGCCGCAACCCGCCGCCCAGCACTGTCGTCATTGGTCGTCACCGCCGTCGCCGCCGCAGCCCGCCGCCGCCGGCGCCGCTGTCGTCGCCGGTCGTCGCGGCCATCGCCGCCGCCGCGCGCCAGGTCAGCCCAGCATCGAGTCGGGAAATCCTCGTCGCAGCGCCTGGAACTGGACCGCAGCGAATCGCCGGCGGATCGAAGTGGGAACGGGCTTGCGATCCGGGCGAACCGAATCGCGAGCACGATCGAGCGACCGGGTCGCAGGCGAATCGGATCGCGAAGTGGACTGCACCGTGCGGCGTCGCGGCGACGGCGGCGGGGACGCGGCGCGGTGCGATGTCGCCGTGGCCGCCGGCGCCGCCGTCGGATGAGGCTCGAAAAGATCGCGGCGGGGTCTCGCCGCGGATCCCCCCCCGTCGGGACCTGGGCCGGGGCCGCCGAAGACCGACACGGGACAGACGCGCGGGCGCGAGCGGACTGAGGGTTGACGATACTTCGCGGGCGAAGAACGGTACAAAATCAACCTTTCGGTCACCGGCGGCTGCCTCAGAGCGGCTGGAAGGTTTAAACCTTGACGTGCCGCCGTAAGGGCATCAAGTTTCCAGACGCCCTGGGACAAGCGCCCCCGACAGCGAAACAAGTAATGCTATACCGTTCTTCGCCCCAGCTAACGGGGGGAAGCATCGAGCTGGAATCGCCGATGCATCGGCGCTGGGTCGGCGATTGGCCCGCGATAGCAGATCCGCACGGTCCCTGGAGGGGCTGGACTGTCGGGCCGCATCGGCGATCGATGGGCGACTGGGCGTCGATGGCGTCCCCCCCGAGCCTATCCTCCGCCCGGCGTTGCCCCCGACGGAGCCCGAAGGCGCAATGAAATGTATCGCTTCCCGAGCGCCTGCCGCGACGCATACATGGAGGTTAACAAAAACAATGATTTTTAAAATAAGGAAATTACAACTGACTCTAGGTTGTCCCGTAGAGATTGCAGCCCCGAAGCAAGGCAGACAACAAAACTAGGAATTCAAAAACCAAGAAGCGGACACGCGACGCGGCATGAAACAAAACAAGGAACACCCTGGAACAGAAGGAGGAAGAGCTGGGAAAAATCTGTCGAGGGATGTGGGGAGTGTCCAAAAAGAAGACTTGACGCGGTTGCAAAGCGATACATCTGGAGGAATGTTTCGGACATAATTGCGGAAATATCTGATGGAGGAAGATCTGGCCGAAGATCAGGCGGAAGATCTGGCGAAGAATCGGACGGAAAATCTGGCGGAAAAATCTGGCGGAAGATCCTGCGGAAAATCTGCAAGATAAATCTGGCGGAGGATCTGTCGGAAGATCTGGCGGAAGATCTTCAAGAAGATCTGGCGATAAATATGGCGGAAGATCCAGCGGAAGATCTGGCGGAAGATCACGCAGAAGATTTAGAAAATCAATATGGAGGAAAATATAGCGGAAGAGGAAGATCTCGCGGAGGATCTGTAAAAAATCTGGCGGAAGATCTGGCGGAAGAATTCGCGGAATATCCAGCGGAATATGTGCCGGACGATCTGGCGGAAGATCTGACGGGAAATCTTGCGGAAGATCTTGCGGAAAATCTGGCGGAAGATCTGGAGGATGGAACTGGCGGAAGATCTGGCGGAAAATGTGGAATAGAACTCTGGAGAAAAATCTGGCGGAAGATCTGCCGGAAGATCTCGCGGAAGATCTGGCGGAAGATCTGGCGGAAGATCTCGCGTAAGATCTGGAGAAATCTGGCGGAAGATCTGGAGGAAGATATGGTGGAAGATCTGGCGAAAGATCCCGCGGGAAATCTAGCGGAAAATCTGCCAGAAGATCTGGCGAAGATATTGAGGGAGATCTGGCAGAAGATCTGGAGGAAGGTCAGGCGGAAGATCTTGAGGGTAGATCTGGCGGAGAATATAGCAGAATATCTGGCGGAAGATATAAGCTAAGTGGAGATCTGGGGGGAAATCTGGCGGAAGATCTGGACGAAGAGCTGGGGGCTCCTGCTCTTGCACCGCCTCCTCCTCCTCCTCCTTACACCTCCTCCTCCTGTTCTTTCGCCAAAGATTCCTCCAGAGTTTCCGCCGGAACTTTCGCCAAATCTTCCGCCAATTTTCTCCTCCAGATTTTCCTCCAAATCTTCCGCCAAATCTTCCTCCAAATCTTCCACCAGAACTTCCGCCAAATCTCCTGCGACATCTGCCGCCAGACTCATATTCCGGATATTCCGCCAAATCTTCCACTATCTTCCGCTAAATTTATCCTTCAAATATTCCGCCAAATTTTCCGCCACATCTTTCGCCAAATCTTCCTCCAAATCTTCCGCCAAATCTTCGGGCAAATTGATCCTCCAAATCTCCCGCGAAATCTTCCGCCAAATCTTCCGCCAAATCTTTCTCCAAATGTTCCGTCAAATCTTCCGCCACATCTTCCGCTTTATGTATCTTCCGCCATATTGATCCTCCGAATCTCCCGCGAAATCTTCCCGCAAATCTTCTGCCAAATGTTCCGCCAAATCTTCCGGAAAAATCCTCCTCCCAATCTTCCGCCATATCTTCCTCCAAATCTTCCGCCAAATGTATCTTCAAGATCTTCCGCCTGATCTTCCACCAAATCTTCCGGCAAATCTATCGCCGGATCTTTCGCCAGATCTTCCGCCAGATTTGTCCCGAGATCTTCGTCCCTCAGATTTTCCCGCAGATCTCCCCCCAAACATTTCTTCAAATTTCTCGCTTTGCAACCTCCGCCAGGAGGAGGAGGAGGAGGAGGAGGAGGAGGAGGAGGAGGGGGAGAAGGAGGAGAAGGGAGAGGAGGAGGAAGAGGAGGTGGGGGAAGATAGCCGTGACCATTTTTCCCTACCTAGGCTCTGCCTAGAAGGGTTCTTACTCTCTTAGCTTAAAGGGGCCCGGCAGTGCACAGCGCCCCTGGCGGTTCCCCCAGTCCCCGCCCCGCGGTTCCCCCAGTCCCCTGGGAGCTTTAGCTTTAGCTTCAGCTTAGCTTTAGCGTAGCTTTAGCTTAGCTTCATCTTAGCTTCAACTTAGCTTTGGCCTAGCTTTAGCTTTAGCTTTAGCTAATAAGGATGATTTAAGGATGATTTAAACTATGATTTTAGAGTAGGTCCGCGAGACTGAGGCCGGGCATGCCCGTCTAGTTTGTTTTTGAACTCCCTGTATACTATAAGATCTCTCGGTGCGCGCGTCGCCCCTTAGGGGGGCGACGCACACATAGTCTTAGTATATTGGTGCGACGCCAACCTCAAGCCGCCGCGGGGCGCCGCACCTGAAGGCGCGCACGTCGGGCCAGCGCTTGAAGCTCTTTGGGCTCCAGTAGGGTGGGGGCCTGGCGCACCTCGTTATGAAGCACGGACGCACACACTAGTCGATAAAGTCCAGACAGAACGGGCGGGCCAAACCAAGAGGGGCGGTTTCCTCCCCTTTCTCCTCCTCGCTGGCTCGCTAGCTACCCACGGGCAATTCCTCCTCCTCCTCCTCCTCCACCTCCTCATTCTCCGCCCGGCCAGCGTCCCTGCGGGCCCCCCATTGCGACGGCGAGGGCGTGCCCTCCAGGACCGAGGCCGCAGAAGGGCGAGGAGGAGAGAGTAACGTTGACGATCAGGGGAGACGAGGATCCCCGATAGTTTAGGAGGCAACCGCTGGGAGGTCTTCGTCAGAAAGATCAAGACAGAATAAGCCCCATTGGGGGGCTGTTACGCCAAATTGGGCCTCAAAATCTGCGGGTTTAAGTCGGATTAAACGAGAGAATGCCGGATTCAGCGTAATTGAGACGGACTAGGGCGGATTTCGGACCAGGGCAAACTCAGGCTTTGACCTCCCAGGAGTTGCATCCGAAGATAGTGATGATATGGTGACGATGATGGCAGGAAGGACGAGGAAAGGAAGGACGAATTGGATTGCCTGCGGAGAGCTCGGTGGGTAGGGCCGGACAGCATTGAAGTCCCTTTGGGATTCAATAGGAAAAGACCCATCGACCAGACTTAGTGAACACAGCGCAGCATCGTAAACAGACACAACAAGATCCCAATACATATTCCCGAGCAATCTCCCGAACATGATCGGCGTGTGATGGTTTTGTGATCCGAAGCCTGGCGGAGACGCCTGGTTTGAAACAGTTGCAACTCTTCGATCTCAGTAGAGGGGGGAAGAGGACGAGGAGGAAGAGGAAGATGAATAAAGAGGTGGACGAGGATAATGGATGATGATGAGGAGGAGGAGAAGCAGCAGCATCCGCCGAAGAAAAGAGGGGAGAAGAGGAACAAAAAGAGAAGGGGATCAGGAGAAGGAAGAGGGCTGTGGGCGCACGCGTGCGCGATCCGCTTGGCCTGTGTCCGCGGCAAAGGTATCAACGGACGCTGGCGACTTGTGTTCCCCAGGAAGAACGATTGCATGTTCCAACCTGGCATCGCAAAACAAATCATGAATGTAGGCACGCCGATGGATGCAGGTGAAACGTGGGTTGCTGGCATGTGCATCAAATCGCGGGTCGTCGCATGAAAATCGTCATGCTGCTGATTGTCATGGAACGCTGGGATGGCGCATCAATGGATACACATGGAACGCTGGCCGTCCGAGCGATCCGCGATTCCTTATCAATGAGATGAGCCGACCAACGCCCCGCCTGGCAGGTCTGGAACGGCTTCGCAAGGAGTTTCGCCTCGAGTTCGGGCGCCAAGGCGCCGTCCAAATCGTAAGGCCAGTATTTGGAACATTGACGCGCTGAGCAGCTGACTGCGCCTCTCCGACCCGCACGCGGGCCGACCGCCGGCGACGCGCAGGCGACAGCGGGGCGTAAGGGGGGGCCTTCCGCCGCGTCATAGAGAATGCCTTTGAAATTGC